CGGTGGCGACGGCGACGGCGGCGGCAGCGGCGGCGCCAGCGAACAGAAACGGAGAAGACGACGAGAGGAGGGGTGAGGTTACGACACCGCCAAAGGTGTCAAGCCGACGTTCGCCGACAGCGAGAGGCGGACTAGAAGCATCCACCCTCACCCTCCGCCAGCCAGATCGATATTGGATGGGTGGGAAGTGGGAGAGGAGGAGGAGGAGGGGGAGGAGGAGAAGGAGGAGGAAGAGGAGGAGGGGGAGGAGGAGGAGGAGGAGGAGGAGAAGGAGGAGGAGGAGGAGCAGGAGGAGGAGGAGGAGGAGGGGAGGGGGGAGGGCTTAAGCGGATCTAGAATCCCTGCAATCGTGAGTCCAGTGGCACTGTAACTGTTGTATGGTTCACATCCGCCACCGTGCCTCAAACACCTTAAACCCTGAATGTGAATCATCTTCACGAGCGCTAGACTCCCACCTCGCGGGATTAGTAGGCGCTCCTGGGCACTCCCACTGCTCCCGGAAAGACTTCCACACACACTCGCGCTAGATAGAGCCCTCGATCGCGGATGGCCCTTTATCAGCACAACCCTTCCGAGAAATCCCTCACTGGCGGCCCGGATGAGACCCCAGCATCCCACCAATCCCATCATCAACACCCACTGCATAGATGAGGCCAAGCCCCCCGAGACTCAAGAATGGCACAGGAAATCGGAGATTTCCTGTGCCATTCTTCAAATCGCAACAACTTGGACCTTGGTATGAGGCACGACTGCCAACACACAGAAATTAGAGGAACGTATACACCGCCACCTGGCCTCCACAGGCCTATTCTGAGCCCGTGGGGTCTCGGTGGTAGTTGGAAGTCTCCTCCTCTAAGCCCGAAAGTCGAAAGTTGGAAAGGGCCACGCGTACCACCACGACGACGTACCCGCAGTGAGGTGTCGAAGCGGACACGGCTCCAGGCACGAATTGCGCCAAAACCCAGCCTCTGGGAACCCAGAGGTGGGCCCAGAGGCCTTCTCTCCAGGGCACGCCTGTTCTGGTGTACGCTCAGCCCGCCTGAGAAGAAAGGAGCAGCACCTCAGGCAGAGAGGAGAGGAAGATGTGAAGTGCACACGGCGCTGGCTTCAGCTCGCGCTCGCGCCGGCCCCGCTGACACACACAACGCCGCGGAGGGAGAGGAGGAGGAGGAGGAGGAGGAGGAGGAGGAGGAGGAGGAGGAGGAGGAGGAGGAGGAGGAGGAGGGGGGAGAAGGACGAGGAGGCCCCCCAGAGGCACTGCATCCCATCTCCGCGAGGAGATCCGCCTCTCGAGCCGGATGGCTCCCTGCAGGTCCGTGGGCCCGTGGCGGGGCCACTCCTTGTGTTTGGCCGTCGCGGCGCGGCAGCGGCGATCCGCACGCGCGCTCTGCGCAGTGAGCCAGGCTGTGGCAGGCACTCAATTCAGGTCAGGCACGTCTGAAGGGGCCCCAGGACACACAAATAAATACACACAAATAACCAGATTCACAATATTTTCCTATATTTTCTGGATTTGTGTCTTCCCCCCCACTTCCCATATTTTCCCATATTTTCTGGGGAATCGACGATTAATTGTGTATGTGTGTTTCTTTCCCTCCTGAACGTCCTCCTACGGGCGGACTTTGGAAAACGATGCAAACGTTCAAACAAAGATTCAAAACAGAGTCCAGGAGAGCACGGCAAGACGTCCCTATACGATCATCCTACTATTCTTGACCATTTCTCCCTTAAGAGGGGCATGCCAGACTTACCACACGAACTGTCCGGCGGCAAGAGTTGGGGACCGAGGCGGGGCGCGGCCGCGGGGGGCGGAAGAGGAGGGAGGGTACTCACAGCACACAGAAGTTCGACTGGAGTGACAGGGGCGGCCAGCCTGTGGTGACGCGGCCAGGCATTAGGTCGGGCATGTCCTCCTACGGGCGGATCTTAGAAGAATTAGCCTGGCGAAAGACGCAACCATCTGCAATCGTGGGCACTGCGGACGAATGCGACGGCTGGCAGTTGGGCCTTCGGTGGAGTTCCCTATGGGGCGACGAAAGGTGCGAGGGGTGTCCCAACATGGGCGCGGTGGGCGGATGCGAGCGCTGGCATGTGTTCCTTCGGTGGAGCTCCCGATGGGGCCACAGAACGTGTGAGCGGTGTGCCAAAATGGGCGCGGTGGGCGCATGCGAGCGCTGGCATATGGGCCTTCGGTGGAGCTGCCTATGGGGCCACAAAGCGTGTGATGGGTGTGCCAAAACGGGTGCGGTGGGCGCATGCGAGCGCTCGCATCTGGGCCTTCGGTGGAGCTCCTATGGGGCCACAAAACGTGTGAGCGGTGTGCCAAAATGGGCGCGGTGGACGCATGCGAGCGCTGGCATCTGGGCCTTCGGTGGAGCTCCCTAAGGGACAACGAAACGTGAGGGATGTGCCAAAGTGGGGGAGGAGAGGAAAAGGGGGAGCATGGGAGAAGGGAGGAGCGGGAGGAGGAGTGAGGACGCGGGGGCGCTGTCCCTTCAGAGCGAGGAACCAACGCCACAGGATGGTTGGGAAAATGACGAATTTGCCACAGAATATATTTATACAGGTATGTATAATATATGTATCGTTGCCAAAAATCATCGAAAAATCGTCGCCCGACGATTTCCTCCTGTGGAGGGACTTGCACGACGTGAGCCTGGCCGTGCACGCGGGGCGGCGGGCGCCCGCCCCGATCTCGGGGCCCCGGAGCCGCGCACGGCCTCCCGGCGACCAGCGTGGGGCCCGGGGGCCCAAGGCCCCTGAGGAACCAGAATCGGGGATGCACAGAACCATAGCAGATTCGAATGCTCCGCCTCCGCCTCCTCCTCCTCCTCCTCCTCCTCCTCCTCCTCCTCTCTTCCTCCTCCTCCTCCTCCTCCTCGTTCTCCTCCAGATCCTCCTCCTCCTCTCCTCCGCCTTCTCCTCGTTCTCCTCCTCCTCCTCCTCCTCCTCCTCCTCCTCATCCTCCTCCTCCTCCTCCTCCTCCTCCTCCGCTTCCCCCTCCTCCTCCTCCTCCTCCTCCTCCTCCTCCGCCACCTCCTTCTTCTTCCCGCAGCCCTAGGGGGCCAATGTCTGAGGTGTCCACACATGCATACGTCAGCGGTGAGATAGGCGGCAAGTATAGCGGTGGACGAGGAGAGCAGCAATGGCCAGCATCAACCCGACTCGCAATACAAATCGAGCGGGGCATATAGATGGGCAACTGACGCCTCCAGCCATGCATCCCCAGGAGGCGTGGGGGCACAGCGTTGTGAGGCTGCCTGCGTGATAACAGCAGCTGCGTAGAATTCGATCTGGCTGCTGTCAGGAGGGGCCATGATCGGCATGGCATTCATGCACAGGCACTGACGGTCCCCCATGGGCACACATCTCGACGTGACGGTCGGAGACGTATCTTGCAGGGAGCACAGGAACCTGACCTCGGGGACCTTCCACATGCAGGGCAGGTTGGCTTGCGGAGCAGGTGGGTTTAAAATGAGCAAAGCCGCCAGGCCCGAGGACGCCGCACACAGCGCAAGCGTCAGTGCCGCCCTCAAGCACGCACTGTCGAGCTCCAGCTGCTTCCACTCCGAGGGCGACCTGGCAGAAATTCCCCATGGCTCATCGCAGCTCCTTAAAGGCCTGCACTCACCGCCCTTGACTTTGCAGCGGGGGGTGGGGTCCCACGAGGAAAGGAGGAAATCCGCCACGAGACCAATGACACGCCCAGCCAGAATAAGATCAGTAATGAACAATAGCTCCTTATGGAATCCCTCAGTGGAGCCCTGGAAAAGCTCGAGAATATTAGGGGACAAAATAAAAACATTCATGCCCGCCATGGCACTAGACTTCTCCGCTCTGTCCTGGATGTCACCTTGACTCCTGGGAGCTGCACGGAGGATCACAATGTATTTAGTACCAGGGGCCACAGGCATGTGGACCTCTGCCTGCGTGGGCATCTCTTCCTGGATGCATACTGGTTGGCACGAAATTATCGGCATGCAAGTGGGAAGGCCCTTGGAGGCAGCCGCTCCCCTCAGCCTAGGTCCCGTCGTGAGGACAGGCGGGAGCTGCGCAGACTCCGCGCAGTGGCCTTTCTCTCGGAGCGCGCGTGCTAGCTCCGCGTACTCCGCCTTAGCCGCCATCACCTGTTCGGGGCTCAGCGGTGCGATGGCGGCCATAAGGTCCGCCAGGCACTTCGATGAGCCATGCCGAACGTGTTTAAGCAATCTAAGATGCGTGTGGAAGTTGAGACCGCCAGCCACGCACACAGTGCCTGAAACGTAGCTGGGGGCGGGGTCTAGATGGGGGTGGCACTTCGAGCGATGGGAGGCCCATGCGCCCTTGGTGGCCAACACCGCCCCACAGTCCAAGCAGGGATACAAGGCGAGAACCGACGGCGGACGCAGAAACGACGGGAGCGCAAGACCCTTGGCGATGCAACACTTTCGTCAGCCGTCTTTGAATTCTTCGTGACGCTGATCGTCCAAAAATTTGGCCCTGGCAGCCGATTCTGCTCGCTTGCAAATTCGCTTCCAAAACTTGTTGCTGCTAGACCTCAGGAGCCACAACCACCAAGCAGGGGGCCCTGACGGTAAGAATGCCCTGTCCAGATTCACATGTCTGCTGAGCCACATCAGGCCATCGCAACACAATGCGGACCATGATTCAGGCACTGAGGCTAACTCGTCCAGGATCGCCAGCAGACACGCAGGCGCCGATTGGAGAAGCCTGGGAAGAAATCGCAGCCGCCTGAGCCTCAGTACCAGCTCGACGGGCATGATCTCACATTTGACAAAAAACTCTATGGTCTGCAGCAACCTTACCAGAGCCAGAATCGTACCCAAGCCCAGCCGCCAATCTAAACGGGCTCAAATAGTTGCGCGCCAGGGTCGTCATCTGTTTCACGTTTAACTTGTGCCAGGTGAGGGCATTAAACAAACGGTGCGACGTGCACAAAGATGTAACAAACATTAGCTTGGCCCTTAAATTGGCTTGCTTCCTGGGGAAAACAGTGCGCCTCAGTACCCCTAGGGGACGTCGCTGCTGATGACAACGGTGCGCCAGCTCAGGTCCCAGAGAAATGTGATGGTCCTGGTAACTTCCCAAGTGTTTGTAGGTTCTAGTGAGGCACAGGGAGACGCCTAAGGAAGGGACGAGAAGACCAGTGGCAGCCAAGGCTGCACACTCCCCTCGTGCCTTCCTGGAACCTGTGAGCTGAAGAAGGCCATGAGCTCCGTCTTGCCCGCCTTCCAGTTCATGGTGAACCCCCTAGACTTGGTGTCTTCGCACATGATCGCGACGAGGGCGATGGCCGCCTCCTTCCAGAGCCTAGCGTCTAACAGCTCGATGCCGTTGACGAGGTCATCCATGAAGGCAGGATCCCATACGTCTTCCTCTACATGCTCGTGTTCGCGACCTCTGAAAATCCTCTGAGACGGGACCACATCCTTAGTCCTCTGAAGATACCCCAGGGATCCTAATCTACTGTTGACCGCGATGATGATTGGGTCGAAGGCTATGATGAACAGGGGGTCTGCTAGTGGCATGCCTGGCCTCGTACCTAGGCGGGGGGAGACGACCCTGGTACTCCCCCGCACTTGGAACCAATTGCATTCCATCACGCCAACCACTGCTTCCAGAAGGTGCTTACTCCCCAGCCCGTCCAGGGCTCCAGGCTTGGCGACTAGGGCATGGCACAGAGGCTCCAGACAACTAGGTATCTCCAAGCCCGCCAGCGTGTTCTGGATGTCCTCACTGCTCTGGGCCATTCTGGCAACGAACCCTCGGATGACCGAATAGAATGCCGCCTTTAGATCGGTGTACAACGACAGGTTTGCGCGCTTCCTAGCCTTGGCAGCCATCATGGCCGACCGAAGATGCAAGGATGCAATGTCAGTGCCGCGCTGAGGGAGAGCTCCCTGCTGGACCACCGACAGCATGTTCAGCGTTGCCTCTAGAAGTATACCCCTGAGGAAGGCGTGGTGCAACTTCGCCGCGTGGCATCCCAGCAGGATGCCTCTGTAGTGCTCCAGGGGTTCGGGGGACCCAGATTTGTGTTGATCACATTGCCAGCCTCCTTTGAACAGCAGGGGCTCCCTGGACGACATGTCAACTTTCACGAACAACGGCAACAATATCTGCGTGCATTCTTGCGGAGCGACCTGGAAAAGATCATTGCTGAGCCCGTCAAGCCCAGCACCTCTCCTCTTGGCTGCCTTCATGATGTCATGCTTGAGCCTGCGGAAGGGGGTGATCATGTCCAACTCCCTGGGATATACATTTCCACGCTCAGGGAGGGCGTTGTATCTCTCAACCAGCTCTTCCCAGCTGAGTGCCTGCCCATTCTCAACTACAGCGAAATAATCCGTGAGGGCCTCCGAGAGATCTCCAGATGTGGCCAGCACCTCGCCCCGAGAACCTCGTCGGATTCTAAGCCCCTCGACCTGGAACTTGGAGCGCTTTCCCCCAAACCTTTGCAGCTGGCATAGCACTCCCCACTCCACTCTACTCTCGTTTGAGGACCTAGCGTTGCACAACTGCTGCGCGAGGTCGTCTAGCAGCTTGTTGCGCGAGAGCTTCAAGGCCCTTCTCAGGGCCGGCTTCGACTTGACCAGAAACTCAAGCATGTGTGCGGCTAGCTCGCTTGCCGCCAGGATCTGTTTGTCCCACTCAGCGAAAGCCTGGAAAAGCTCCGAAACCAGGAGGTCCAGCTCGAGATTGGTGATGTTCTGGGGGGCCCCCGCCTCCAGCGCCGCGGCGACCAGCCTCCTGACCCCACCAGAGTCCTGCTTACCCCAGAGACGCCACGCCTGCCGTACTTGCCTTCTGAAGATGATAATGCCCAGAGGAGCCTCTGAAACATATGGCTTGATCGGAGTACGCGCGGGTTTAGGGAAGCATGCTTGTGCACCCACGTACATGTATTGAATGATGTCGCGTAAGTGCTGATTCATGTCGACCTGGTGAGGCACCGTGGGAAACGCTGCCAGGTGCATCCTGAAGGCTGCTGCCTTATCAGGGTCCTGGGTGCCCCTAGCGTCGTAGCCGCTCTGTTGTTGCGCTGCTTTGGTGGAGCCCTGGGACTCGAAGCGCATGAAGACAGGATAATGATCCTTGCCAGCGCAAAAGGAATCAATATCATATCGTACTTGATGTTGCCCCAATGCGGGAATCATATTCTGCTCAACCGCAATGTAGTATATTCTGTGTGGTGTTTCGGACTTCGACGAGACGAACGTGCACGAGCCCTGGCTGAGAGAGGGGACTAACGTGTCGGCCGCGGCCAAGCCCGTCTCCAAGAGCATGTCATGAAACAGCCCGCCCGATTCGTCCTCGTCTTGCCTGAACCCTTCGCTTCCCACTGCCTCAGACACAATGCTGCCAAGCCTGGCATTCGCGTCCAGGAAGGCCAACTGTACTTTCCATTTATGGCAGATCCCTATGAGGTCCCGCCACCACTGTTTCCTCTGCTGCGAGGTATACTCGTCTCCGTTGTGCAGCGCATGGGCAACCAGGATGACCTTCCTACAGAGTGGGGCGCAATAGCCAACCACCAGGTGCCTCTGGGTAGCGTACAACGGCCTAAAATGTTTCTGCTCAAAATATAGCTCCTCGCCCCCACGTCGCCCATAGGGTAGGTGCAGGGAGACCCAAAGCTCAACACCCAAGTTCTTGCCACCGTCGGATCCCGAAGAAAGCACAAAGCATCCAGCAGAACACCTTTCCCCCGACGGATTCCTCGCCTCCTGCACCCCAACGATGTGGCACTGCTCTTGAGCAAATTGCAACCTGAGAACCTCTCCCGACGTTTTGGCGCGTCTTGCCGCCGTGGCCTCCGCGTCCCTGCCTGTCTTGGCGTTGAAGGTGGCAAGCCTCACGCTGATGCTGAACTGGCAAGACTTGGGGGCCGTCTTCTGCGAGGGTTGGGATCCCATAGTATCCCTTAGCGTCTCCACCGACGCTTGAGGGCGCCCAGGATACCGAAAGGTGTTGTCGGGGCCTATTGGGTACGCTTCTCTTGTGGCCATAGGTGCCTCCTTTAACCACCACCATTCGAGGTCGTTCGTGTACCTGAGTGCCTCGCGTAAGGCCGGCGGGGGTGAGCACCCAGCCGCTCGGTCCGACCGTGCAAGACTGTCTGCCAACTCATTCCATGGATGCCCAGAGTGACCACATACATGCAAAAGCAAAGTGCCGTGTCTCCTGCGCGCACACTGGTATACATGGTATGTAAGCCAGGCCAGGTGTTGGTTCTCCGACGGGACCTCCAAACCCAAGGATATGTTGACAGCCGACTGGTTATCGCAAAAATGACCAGAGCTGGGGGGGAGTGCACCGTGTTCGGCCCAAAGAAACCCAAGATCCAGAGTGAGCTCCATAATATCCCCATGAGCTCGATAGTCGTGCTAGTGACGTCGTCCCTTTCGAATTGCATTGCTGTGGATTCCCATGCGCTCATTTTTTGCCACCCCAGGAAGCTCACCGCGTCGTCAGGCGAGATCGCGACAGCAGCGAAGGCCCAGGCTGAGTCCCTGAGCGTCTTTCTGTACGAGGCGTCGACATAGATATGTACTGATCTCGCTCTATGTGCCCCGCGCGCAGAGATATCCAGAGCAAACTTGGCAGTGTGATGTAAGGGGATACCTCCAAAATCGTCATTGCAAAGCTCAAACCAGTTGATGTTCTGGAGTAAAACCTAATATATCCTGTCCGCTTCCTGAAAACCACAGTGCCCACTGCCATTGCTCTCAGGATACTGGAAAAGTAAAGGGAACAGACGCAGGGAAGTAGTATACCCACCATCCTCCCTCAGCGCCATCACACTCCCCCCTGCAACTGCTTCGAGCTGCTCCCTGACTGGAGCGGGGTGCGACGGCGGTGGGGGTGGGGGGGGGGGGGGCAGTCACCACCGCAACTGTAATTGACGTTTGATTGGCCTCGTGTCCTCGCACCTCATGCGCAGCATGCTGTAATTCGCGAGGACGAGGCAAGAAAAGATGTTCCTTCGAGGCCTTGCCCCGCAAGCGATACCTCGTTCGGCCGTTGGACCGAGTGGAAGCTGATGATGAGTCCTCAGTGGCATCACCTGAAGTGGCTGCCGAGGAAATATTGCCTGACTGCGAATTCCCAAGACCACATCCCTTGGCCGAGATATCCGAGGCATGGGCCGACCTTATAATCGGCCTAGTGAAACAGGTCCGAGAAGGCGTGTCCCTGGCTTGTCGGACAATTATAGGTGCATGCGCTTCAAAGCGATTCACTTCGACTGGGCCCCATGAGACTCTGCTAGGCCTTACAAAATGGACCCGTCTTCCAGCTCGTAACCCTGGCACTGCATCTTCTTGGGGGGGACCTGTTGGGCGAGTCTCCCATGGCCTTCACTTTGTCCTGCTCCTCCTCTAGCGGTCGGGTCCTCGAAGCCGCAGGAGGTGCATCCGCTGCTGGTGCCGCAGGCGCTGCCGCAGGCGCTGCCGATGCTGACGATGCTGCCGTTGAAGATGTTGCTGCCGCTGATGCTGCTGCTGCCCACGCAGGGGGGAACAGCGCCGCGGGCACTGGCTGCGGAGGATCCACTGGCGATCCAGGCGACCTCTGCGCCGGCGGTGGTGTGGGGGAGCGCTGCGTCTGACTGATCAGGTCGATGGAGGCCCCCTGGATGTGCTGCAAGATGTGCACTGGCCCTGGTATCATTTCCTTCATCACCATTGGCTGCGTCGCGATCAGTAGCTCTGGATCTACCGGCAAGACCTCCTCCTTGGGCTCGTTCCTCTGCAGCTCCGCTGTCACCCTGGACACGCCTTTCACCCTCGGTGTGTCTGGAACTGCCTTCTCCTCGGCCTGGGCCCTGGTCTCGGCTGAGACGCCCCTGCAGGGGGCCCTGGCTGGCTTCGGCGATGCCGACTGTCTCTTCGGCGGCGGTGTCTTTGCCACGGGAGGCTCTAGCGAGCTCGCTCTGCGCTGCGTAGGCGCCCTCGCCCCCGTGGCTGGCGCTGCACCAGGGGGGGCTGCGCCAAAACCTGGCGCCGTGGAGGCGACGTCCCTCTGCGTGCGCTCTGGCGCCAACCCCTGAAGATCAGGGGGGCTCGCACTGGGGATCGAGAGTCCCGAGATCACCGCCCGCTGTGCCTTCTGAATCGTCTGCGCATCCATGAGCACATCACCTGCTGCTGCACCGATGCCGACTCCCAATACCCTGGCCAGGGCGAAGGCATGGAAGTTCTGGCCCGTCTGCATCCTCGAGAGGTGCTCCTGGATGGCTTGCTGCTGGGCCTGCACGGCTCTCATCTGCTCCGTCATCGCAGTGATGGCCGCCGCCGTTGGGCCCTCTTGCCCCTCAGTCCGCAGGCCACTGTGCCATGCGGCGCGCGGGCCGTCGGGCTCTGTAGCCTTCGGCGCAGCGGCTGCAGTGGCTGGCTGGCTGCGCGGCGCCCCTGAAGCTGCCCTTGGTGCTGCCTTCTGGGGTGGCTGATATGCCTGAGTCTGTGCCATGGGCTGATTGGGCGTTGGTGGCGGCGGCGGCGGCACTCTGCTGGCAATTGCTTCCGCCGCGGCCTTGGCTAACTGAGCTTTTGCCTCCGCCTGTGCTGCCGCCCTCTCAGCCGCCGCCTGCACCCACGGCCTCTGGGCACTGCTGGCTGCTCTGAGACCATGTTCACTTCCTCCTGGCGGGGCCATCAACCAGTCTTCATCATGATCTGGTGCATCCTCCGCTTCTCGTAGCTGCTGGATGGAGTTCTGTAGCTTCTGCACCATCAGGCAGAGCGTCGCCTCCTCGTCTAGCAGCTCCTCGACCTTAGCTCGTATTTTGCCGAGCCTCTCTTTTGCGCTGATGAGCTGGGCCTTCAACTCATGCAACTGCTTCTCTGAGCCCTTGCAGGCACTCATCATGTACTTGAGCACCCCTATGTCGAACTCCAGGGCTGGATCCTCCTTCCCTGCGTCACGGACCGCGACGAGGAGGTTGGCGAACTTCTGGAGCTTCGACTGGGCCTTTGACTTGTAGATCTTCAGCTCGTCCGCCTCTGGTGGCGGCGGCTCCCACACCGTGATGTTGGCAATCGCTTCATCAGGTGCTGCAACAGGGATCTGTGCGATCAACTCTCTTGTGCTGGCGGACTTCTTCTGGTCCCTTTTTCTGCTGGCCGAACGTCTGGTGGGATCGGGGCGAGGAGCCCACACGTTGCCACACGAGCATGTCCACTGAGAGTTAGGACTTCTTGTCTCGCACTGCCTGCATGTCCAAGTACCTCCACCCATCGTGCTGTGATGCGATTCGAGGAGGCGCTTGGCCTGGAACACGCTGAGGAGAAGGCGAGCTCGCCCTCGCTGCGCCCGCTGCCTCTTGTGCCAGGCTGGCTCGGGGGAGCCCCTGCGGCGCCCCGAGCGCGCCGTGGGTCGCGCGCGCCCTCTGGTGCTCAGCCGCCGGCCTAGCCGCGGGAGCTTTCACGAGCAACTATCGTGAGGGGGGCGCGGCGCCTGAGCCCTGTGTTCCGCCAAAATGGCCTGAGCCCCAGTGGCTTCGCCACCTCCTCCTCCTCCTCCTCGTCCGCCTCCTCCTCCGCCTCCTCCTCCTCCTCGTCCTCCTCCTCCTCCTCCTCCTCCGCCTCCGCCTCCGCCTCCTCCTCCTCCTCCTCGTTCTCCTACTCCTCCTCCTCCTCCTCCTCCTCCTCCTCCTCCTCCTCCTCCTCCTGCTCCTCCTCCTCCTTGGCTTCGGACCTCTGCTCAGTGCGATTGTTTGCAGCAGTGGGTCCTATGAGATGAGACTCCGCCTGCTCGAAACGGGCGCCCAAAACAGCTAAGATCTACTCCAGGGGGGAGGGTGCGAGGGCCCGCGCCGATCAGCGAAACAATGCATAACAAAACGATTACGCATCCGATGGTCTTTTTGAAGGTTGTCCGTGATCTCCCCAATGCGAGCGGTCGCCCTGGCCTATAATACTTCCAGAGCCCTTCGGGCGCAACCTCTGCGATCGTGCCGTTGTGGTCATTTATTGGCGCTGCTCCCTGCGCCTTTGCTGGAGGCAAAGGGGCCCCTGGCAGTCTGGGGCGAGGCAGTTTGATCGCAGACGCCTCCTCAGAGTTAGCTGCGCGCCTGCTTCGGCGAGCAGCTTGCTTGCCGCGGGGTCAGAAATTGAGCAGGGACCAACCGTCCCAGCATTCCTAGAGGACTACCACGACATGTTCTTAGAACCCAGGAGCGACGGCGCCGCCTGCGCCGCCGACGATGACGGAGGCGCCGACCGACGACGCCGACGCCGATGACGACACCAACGACAACCACCGACAACGGCCAAACTCCGACGACGGACGACCTATGAAGACGGCGGCGGCGGCGGCGGCGACGACGACGACGACGCCCGACGCCGATGCCCGACGCCGAAGCCGACGTCGGCGCCGATGCAGACGCCCGACGACGCCGCCGCCGACGACGCCGACGACGCCGCCGCCGCCGCCGCCGTCGTCGTCGTCGTCCGCCGTCGGCGTGCGGTCGGCGGCCGTCGGTCTCGGCGGCGGCGGCGGA